ATATGTATATTCCAAAGTTGCCGAAATTGGAAAATTGACACCAATTGTTGGTTTCCAGTATTTAATACTTGACAATAGGTAAGCATGATGATATAGCTCTAGATTCGGAAAACCAAATCCTCCTTCATTAATTGGAAAATTGACACCAATTGTTGGTTTCCAGTATTTAATACTTGACAATAGGTAAGCATGATGATATAGCTCTAGATTCGGAAAACCAAATCCTCCTTCATTAATTAGTAATTGCATTTTCTGTAAAGATATTCTTGAAATTGAAGAACCCCATAGAAAATTTCTAAACATAGAATTTATTTTCTGAAAATATTTTCCAGATATATAAACTGGAATTCCTCTCAGAATATAAATTAATCTGGAAATAATATTCATTTTGAGAGCATTCACCTTTCCCCAAAGGGTGAGGTTTAATTATTCCCATCTATCAATATTTCAAGAAACCTCTCTATATATTTTATTTATATTACATGTTACTGAGTTATATCTTTTGGTATACACATACCTAAATATTTAATGGATTTGGTACAAATATGGAATTGATATTCCTTAAATGGATGGTTAACCAAATTTTTACCTATTGGCATCAATTCCAATTTGTACCAGTTAATAGAGTAGCCTATTTTACTAAAGGCATCTATCGTTTGCATCAACACGTAGTGTGAATATTAATGTGAGGTTTAGAAATTAAAAAAATGTCATCTGCAAATAAAACCAATTTGTATTCAACTAAGTTGTGTACCACTCCGTAGTCTCCCTATGTTGTCCAATAGCACAAGCCAAGTGTTCCACACAGGTATTAAAAAGCAAGGGTGAACATCCTTGCCTAATTCCTCTAAATAGTGGGAAAGTAGAGAAGACATGTCATTAACTTTACTTTAGATGTGGGCGACTCACATATCTTGATCCATTTTATGAATTCTAAAGGAAATCCGAACCTGTTCAGTATGGCAAACATGTACTGTTTATATATTTTGTAAAGGCTTTTTTAGCATCTAAAGATAAAATTATGAATTGATCTTTATTTTTATTCAAGTCTATTAAATCTACAACTAACCTAATGTTGTCTGCTGCTATAGATAGCAAATAAAATTGTTTTTGGGTATCATCTAAATGTGGTAGATTAATTTTATTTAGGCCTCTATATCTTCATTTGATACATTCTCTGGTTTGCTATATAATTCTGAATTTTAAAAATTGACAATTTATATCCATTTAAGATTCATATATTTCATCTCTTTCACCTCTAATAATTGGAATAATTGCCCTATCTTTCTTTTGCTTTAAGCGATTAGCCAAGATCTTACTGGGTCTTTCACCATTCTCCCCATCTGTCATAAACATGTTAGTATGAATTCTGTCTGTTGTGATATTACTTAATTATTTCTTTTCTGTATTTCTCTGTACAAAATCGTAGATAGGTACCTAGCCATCTGTGCCCATAAATGTTTCAGTTCATCTTTCAAATTGTTTTCCCTTTTATTTTTAATCTTATTTTTATGATGCATAAGCCATAACCTGAACTCGGATATATGCTTTAAATGCTTCCTATTCAAAAATTCGAGCACTTGAGGTTTCTGAATTCAAATCAAAATATTGTAAAGTCTCTACTTGCAGTTGTTGTACAAATTATTTATCATTCAATAAGGAATGAACTCGGATATATGCTTTAAATGCTTCCTATTCAAAAATTCGAGCACTTGAGGTTTCTGAATTCAAATCAAAATATTGTAAAGTCTCTACTTGCAGTTGTTGTACAAATTATTTATCATTCAATAAGGAAAGATTGAAATACCAATTTCTTGATACCTTAACTGGTTTCTGAGACACACATTTCAAATTTGCACCATGATCAGATACATAACAAACATCAGTATTACATTCTTGAACTTGGTGATACAAAGTCGATGTTAAAAAATAATCAAGCCTAAAAAAATTCTGGTGCACACTTGAATAAAATGTATATTCTCTTTTAGTTGGATACATCAAACACATGGGATCTATTAAATTAAATTCTTCCAATTAAAAAAATGTTAAGGTTATATAAATGTATTAGAAATTAATATATACTTACTTGAATATTATTTATTAGTTATATATAGATTTGTAACTATTACAATATATACTTGATTACTTTTTCTGTTGTACTTTTTTCACTTTTAAGCACTTTTTATGTGTAGTTTTTCTTTGAAAATGTATGCATTTGCATTATAATTATATTTGTGTTTAATTTTTTTATTATTTTAAAAGCAATAAAAATAAATTAAAAATAAGTTTGGATCTCTCACTATAACCCTTCCATTCAGATTCTTGCCTTACCTTCGGGTGCTGTGGATAATATAACCACACCCTCTTTCCTGTGATATACCTTCAAGTATTGGAAGACTGTATCGTTAGCCTTGGCCTTTTCTTTAGGCTAAACATATCAAGTTCTTTTAATTACTCCTCGTAGCCTCCAAGACCTTACCATCTTTGTCATTCTTTTCTGCAGCTCTTTTCAGTTCCTTAGTGTCCTTTTTCTATTGTGGCAACCAGAACTAGAGACAATATTCCAAGTGTGATTTGAGCATAGAGCAATACCAACACTTCCCGTGCTCTTGATACTATACCTTTATTGATGCAGCCCATTGTATTGTAAATAAAGAGTTGCTTAAAACAGCCATTTATAAAGGATTTCCAATAAAATTACATGAAAAGATATAAAATTCTAGGCAGATCACAAGAGAATATTGATCTGCTAAGGACCATAAAGAAGGCTGAGTGCCAAAGAATTGATGCCTTTGAACTGTGGTGCTGGAGAAG